AGCGCGCCGCGGCTGTGCAGCTCCACTCCTCCGGGCTCGTGTCCAGCGGGCCCGCGCGCCCAGCTCCAAGGCCCGCGCCGGGCCAGGCTCCCCGCGTGCCCTGGGGCTGCCTGCCCGCCGGTGCCAGTTGAGATCCTGCGGCACCCGGCGGCGGGGAGGGGAGGAGGCCGCCTCAGACGCGCCGCCGGCACTGTCTCGTCCTCTCGGCCCCAACGGCGGCGAAAGGGCAGCGCCCAGGGCTGCTGCGCCGAAGAGGGCAGAAGAGGGCAAAAGAGGGAAGGCCCCTGCCTCTGAGCGCCCAGCCTCGGACCACCCGGAGGACCCGAGAGCCAGTGCCTCCCCTCCCCATAAAAAGAGGGCGCCGGGTCGCTGGGGCGAGGCCGGGTGGGCCTGGGGACGCGTCTAGGGCACTCACCTGGCGGCTGCCACCTGCCCCCGCCCTGGAGCCGACGCCTGGGGCCCCGGAATGAGCAGCCTCCACCCACATTCCAGAGGGGCGCGCGCCCAGGCGAGGGAGGGGGCTGCTGCGAGCCTCAGGCCCACTCCGGGGCTCTGCGCACTCCAGCCCCACTCCTGCTCAGAAGGCTGGGCCGCGCCCTGAGCGGAACCCAGAGGGTGGAAGGGAAGAGACGGCTCGGTGGGTGTCACTGGAGTCGGGGCTTTCAGAATGGGCATCCACGGGCGAGCAGAGCGCCACCTCAGGCCAAGGCGCGGCACCGAGCGCTCGGCGGGGACCCGAAGCGCTCGGCTGCCGAGGACTGAGCGCGACCGACAGCTCAGTGCTAAGGACCTAAGGCCCCCTGGATGGACAGGGTGGGCTCCGCCTGCCTAGACTAAGTGGGACCCGGACCGGCGGCGGCCCCGGAAGCCTCTCCTGTGTCCTTCCCTCCAGGGTGCAGACGCCACCTGGAACCTAGACCCTGGAGCCCGGCCGTCGGACCCCAAAGCTAGGCGGCGGCGGGGGCTTCTGGGGCCAAGAGAGGCCCCAGTGGGTGGGCGGTCGTTTGAGAAGAATTTCACCATCCCTCGAGCTCGCCGCCCGCCCCGACCCCTGGTCTGGTGGATCAGACCCGCCCCACCCCCTACGGCGGTGACCGCCCTCCCGCGGGACAACAGCTATGAGAGAGCAGCGCCACACGCGGGAGGGCTCTCCTTCACTCACAGCTCCAGCATTTCAAAGGCTGTGTCCGCGAGGGGCCTCCCTCGGGGGCGCTTGCCCCCCACACCCCGCATACCTGCGGGGCGGGGTCTCGCCTGCTGCTGAGGAGGACCCCAATCTAGCAGCGCCCTCACACTCTTGCTCACCCGGATGGCAGCACCCAGCAGAAACCCTGTGGTCACACACGGATCTCCGAAGGAATTTGGGGATGGGGAAGAGGCGAGGAAACTTGGGAGATGTTTCAGAAGGCCAGGCAAGTCTGTCCCTGGCTTTGGAGAGGCCGGCCCGCCGGACGACCCGGCGTGAGCTGGCGGAGCCGGAGTCTGAGCCTTGTCTAGCAGAGCCTCTGGTGGTGCGTGAGCCCACGGACACCTCTGTGTATGGAGAAGAGGTACTGCGGAGGGAGGGCCTGTGCCTGGGGGTTCTGGCCACCCAGAGTGCGGGTCTCCGCGCCTTGGCTGACTGGGAACTGGAAGGAGACTTGGGGTTCGCAGAAGGAGCCCGCCTTCCCCGGAGTCTCTGTCCCGGCCCGGCGAGCAGCAGGGGCGCCTCGCCCGCGGGTCGGGTCGGCGTGGGTGCAGGGGACCAGCGCTGGCATTTCGGGATTGGCCGGCCGCTATTAAAAATAAAACCTAGGCCGTCGTCATGGCGACTACACAACAGCGGTCGCTGCGCGAGGGTGGCAAGAACTTGTGCGACCGAGTCTGGGGACCACGGGGGGCGACGCGCGTTCCAGCTCCAGCGGCCAGCGCTAGGTGAGGCCAGGACACACACACACACCCCAACCAGCACCAGCACTACTAAGGCAGAAATGGGTCCCTACAAGTCCTGCCTTCTGGAACTGGAATTTGAGACGGAACTGGCTTGGCCTAGAGGTCGCCAACTTGGCTACGGACCCACGGCCCAGTCGGCCGGGCCAGACCCCTCTCTTGGCCCTGGCCCTTCCAACTCCAACGTGGGTGTCTGCGCCCAGAGCAGACAGGCTGAGGTGGCCAAGCGAAGAAAAGTGGGTTAGGGTACCCAGGGTGTCAACCGCAGCACCCTCAGAGAAGACGGTGCAGAGCCAGGCAGCAGCGACGGACTTGGCTCGAGGCAAGGGGTATGGGCTCAGCAGCCGCCCTGCCTTCGCCATCGGGTAATCCCCAGCATGCCGCGGTCACGTGCCTCTTCCTGCCCCGCGTTAGGCGGTTCCTACGGTTCGCTGCAAACACTTCATAATAAAGCTAAGCATACATTGGAGTCGGCGGGGGCGTAGGTCGGCGGGGATCCCGCGCCAGCCAGCGCGTGGGCGCGGCGTTCCGGGCCTGGCTG